ACGTGGCTGCTCGCCTTCTGGGTGAGCAGAGCTGCAGCACTGGATTGGCAGCTTGGGCCTTATATGCCTGGCTGTAAAAAGGTTTCTTGTATTAGCTAGCTTTTTAGTAGCTGTCTCATATTTGCCTAAGAAATTTGCCCCTCTGCCAGGTGTTATTTTGGTAGTGGTTCATGGCAGTCGAGACTGGCACATGGGCAGCCAAAATCACCTGGCTTTGCATTTCGATACCTGCCAGTGGTGTCACGTCTCGTGTCAGCATACAGGAGGAGAAAGACGTTCCTATTAACTGTAGAACATTATTGAAGTGGAAATTCACTCTTTACTATTTCCTAATGCAACCCGGCATTTCTACATGGTGACTGTTTATCATGAAGTAATAGGTAATGTTAGGGTTTGCTTAGCAGGCAAGCTTTCTGATAACTAATGTCTGTGTAAATATTCCCTGTGCTTTAAGGATATTGCTGAGTTCAAATGGTAGTTGCAAAGTAGGCTTAATGAGTGCATTAAGGAAAGAAGCTTATTCACAGCATTAGCATTAGCTGAAACAATGACGTGTTACCCTTCAGTGGCTTGTACAGTGACATGCATAGGCTGAGGATCTGTGCATTTTTAAACAGTGAAATGTTTAGTTTTTAATGCTTTGTATATTTGCTTATGTTAGATGTGTCTCTAATTATTTGTTCTTGTAGCAGAATAAAACCAGCTACTTCAGGATAATGTCTGGAAAAACCAGACACCAGAAAACGAGTTGCTGTGCTGAGGTAAGGCGGCAGTCACTGAAGCAGAGTGAGCATAGGACATTCAGTCTGCAAATAGGGGTGGCAGAAGAGGCTGTACTTCTTCTGCCACTGCCCATTCCCAATATAAAATGTGATTAATTTTTAACAAGGCATCGAGCATTCATTTTCTGTCTGTAGTCTCCAGAAGTTGAATACTGTAGTCCTATCAAAATATTGCCTCTATTACAACTTGCAAGATCAGATGCTGGACCCAAATGAACTGAAGGCAAGCAGCACGCAGAGTGCATTCAAGGCTTAATGACCTTTTTGGAAAGATTCAGAAGGAGAGTGTTCATAAATTTGCTGCTTACACTGAAACTGGCAGGCCAAGATTGATCTCAAAGACATTTTTTGAGTAATTTGCCTCCTGTTCATAGGTCTCCACCTCAGATGATTGTACTTAATGATGTAGCATTTGGTTACTTTCACAGGTTGCTCTGGTGTTCTAATATGAATTTTCCACATTTAATAAGAGTCATCAAGGGTTATCTCAGGCTTTTAGCTGCCTCCAGGAAACCAAAATGAATTGTGGTCACTTGTTTGTGGTGGCTTTTGGTTTTGGGTTTTTTTTTCTCTGTGCCCAACCCCTTGAGTCCACAGAAAGGCATAAGGACTCACTTGCTCTATGCCATCCGCAGTTTGAACTTTCAGTGACATCTTGCTTTAAAGTCAGTCATATGCTGACAGAGAGTTACAATTATCAGCCCTGCTGGAGATACAAAAATAATGTCCTCAACATCAAAAGATGTTTTCTTAAATGATAATTAGCGTCTCCATGGGTGGATTGTTTCATAATTTAACATAATATAATATATTTTTCTTTGCGTGATCAAGATAAGGCACTGTGACCACAAGGACCTCTGCCATTTCAAATTAGTTAAGGCATCAGTATTGATTCTAAGCTAGCTAATTATGCTAAGAAAAGTAATCAAACAAAATTTGTCATTTATGCTGGTAAAAAAGCACATTCTTATTTTACTTTTTTAACTCTTTGCTTCATACAGTAATGTCCAGCCACACAGTATGGTTAAAAACCCTTCCCCTGCTTGTATTATATAAATGAGAGTGTGTTTTCATCTCTTATACATGATTGCATCCACTTCATAAGAGTGAGAAATTGGGTGGAAGCTCCGAGTTGTCATTCAAAATAAGAAATGTTTTGAAACAATATGGGCATTGCGAGGGAAATAGATTTTATTTATTTGCCCACTATCTTAGATTTTAGGATGCTGAAAAGTTTAATATGTGTGCTAACTTAGACCACACTTGTTAAACTAAGGGGATCGCAAAATGAAGAATAAAATGCTGGATCCTCCTTCCTATTTCAGGCTAGTGCAGGCTTAATGCCCTGAAATGAGGCGTGGGCTCAAAAAGGTCAAAGTACTGCAGAGGCCATTCCCTCATTTCAGCTCACATTGTGTTCATCAGAATGTCATCCAGGGTACAGAGCAATAGTTCTGCACACAACTTGCTTGTCTCTGACATTTTAATTTTATTCCTTTTGAAAACTTGCAAGGTGAGAACCAAAATAAATGTTTTCCATGTTTCAAATATAAAACTTGGAGAATATTTTTCTTCTTCCTGTGTAATCACATTTGTCATCAAGTCTTTAAGAATATACCTGGGTTTTTCTACTTTACCGTCTAGTTCAGTGGACAATAATAGAAAGTACATTGTGTAGTAATTACCTGTTCTCACAACAGGTGGGACAGAAATCCAGGCCTGAGCCTACACAATGTGTAGCTACACAGCACTGTTGTCACCTCCCAACATCCTATCATCCAGGACAAGAAGGCATTTAATAAAAATCAGCAGCCCAACTTTATTGTCTTATAAAACTCCAAACCGAAGATGAATCTGGACAGAATTTTACACATGAACCTAACAAGATATTCTTAAAAATCACTAAGTAAAGGCAGAATGTGGGATATAAAGAAACTTCTTTTTTTTAAATTGAACTTCAGTGTTGTACTTAGTGATATTTTCATGACAAAGTGCCATAGAATTTGTTACGGTGAAATGACATTTGAAAAAACTGAAAAAAAAATATTAAAAAATGGGAATTAAAATTATGCTTATATAAACATTTCTTTTGTCTATTAGTACATTGTAATGCTGAACATAAAATTTTGGAACACTATATTAGCACTTTCATATTTGTGGAAAGACTTTCACCTGAAGTTATGCTTTGATCTCCCAAGCATCATCTATTTAGTTACAATGATATCCTTTAATAAACAGGCACATTAAAAAAAAACCTGTTTAAATTTTTCTTCCATTGAACTTTACAGTATTGTGCTGGAGCAGAGAGACCATTCCATGCTCAGATTATCTCAGGTCCCTCTGCTGAACGTCTTAAATCTTAAGTTAGTTTAGTGGTAAGGCTGAAGTCACAGAGTAACCATTCCCTCTGCAAAACATAAACTAGCATCAGCTCATTCTTGAAATTGTGAACTAGCTGTGATTACTAAATAGCTCCCAGCTATTTTAAAAAAGTAGTCAGTGGCTTAAAAGATAGGGAAGTACACAGGTTTTTAAAACCAGTATCTGAATTAATAGGTGCTTAACTTCGAATGGCAGTGCCTAGTTCAAAGCAGTCTAGCCTTAGATTTTAGTGCTCACTTCCCATATGTACCCTTGAAAATGAGACTGTGAAAATGTTCAACTAAGCAAAGCCAGGCAGAGAATAAAAGCAAAACAACTTACTTTCTGAATCAAACATTCCCTATGCTTAGGTTACTGTCATGGAGGGTAGCCCACGGCTGGTCCTGCCCATGCGTGGGTACGGCTGTTCCCCTGGCACAAGAACTGCGGCAGAGGTCATTTTAGTCTCAGGAGGCCCACAAGTCAAGCTTGAAGGAACCTCCTAGAGAAGCTGTTGTGACTAAAACGTAACCAAAGTGACTCTTCAGCACAGCAGTGCATCTCTCTCAGCATAATTTAGAAATCTGTATTGTCCTCTAGGGACAGAGGTGGGTGAGTATACATCAAAACAGAGAGGAAGGCATTACTTTTTCAGCCAGTGTTGTTTGTGTTCTTCCCTCTTCAGGTGCTAAAGCCGTGCTATATCTCTTTTTAGATAACCTGTGGCATGGCTTACAGTATTCTGCTAAATACTTGAAAACTAAAACCAGGTATGTGTTAATTACATGAAGACTAATTTTTTGGTGTTTAACAGTAAACAAATCAAATCAGACATACTTGCTAAAAAAAAAAGTGGCTTGTAGCACATAAATTTATTTTTCTATGATTTATTTTTAAAGACTTGTTCCAGTGAAGAAAATAATATACACTTTTTAGGGTTTTCAACAATTCACTATTGTATACTGTTACAGTAAGGCACTCTTAAATTGCATTTGGAAATCAAAGCTCTCCCCTTGTCTAGGAATCAGTGAAGTGACTTTCAATAACAGTATTCTGAACAGAATATTCTCCCCGCACAATTATTCCGACTTCTGAAGCTATAGCAAGAATATATGCTAGTTGAATGGTAGTTAAATTTCAAAAGGAAGATAGCTGTTCCATGTTTAGTTTCTGTCAGTGGCATCTATATTAGCTTCATTTATAGACTTTTCATTATATAAAACTAGGATATAACGGAAACCCAAGCTGTGACCGCAAAACAGAATGTGTGTGCTCTCCTGTTGCTGCTGGCTCTGAAGAGATAAGAAAATAAAGTATGGGAAATGGGAGAAAACAGGACCTCTAGGTAACAGGATCTGATCCAAAGGTTGCTAGTAGTCAGTGGGGGGTCTGTTGATTTCAGACAGATTTTTGTTTGTTTTTATATTATCCAGAGTGTAACAGAAATGACCAAATTTATTGATTTTTTTTTTTTTTTTAAACTACCCGCTCAAATATAAAACTACAGTAGACTTGAGTTAAAGGGTTATCTGGAAGCTACAAGTCTCACTCTTGGATACCCTTTCTCTCTAATAAGAAAGTCTTATTCAGGAGCAAAGTAAAAATTCTCCAAACAGGTCTTTTCAATGATGCATTACTGTATTAGTTCTGCTGTTCTTCCATATTCCTCATAGGTCTCATTTTCAAAAGGAGAAACACGTCAGCAACTTTCTTGTTATTTAGGGTAGTAACAAATGGAGAGTTGTTCTGGGGCACGGTGTGCAATCAGAAATCTGTATTGCAGCTTGGGAAAACTTTCTGAAACTGTTTCTATTTGCCCAATATGGGGAAAAAAACCCCCAACTATCATTTGACAGCCTAATTTTGCTCTGCAAGCATATCCAGCAGCTCTTTCTCTATGCCTTGGCTGCTCAGTTCATTCAGACTGTAGTATCTATGAACAATCTTGTCATCTGTGACAACAACCACTCGAAGCCCATGCGTATCTTCTCCCAGCTGGCATCCCACTGCTGATGAAACCACCATTTCCAGTCCTCTGTAGGACCCTCCAGCATTCCTATGGTAATGTCCAGAAAATACAGCTTTAATGCCTGTGTAAAGAAAAAAAAGGAAAAAAAGAAAAAAGAGAGTATGTATTTAGTTAGCAGTTGCAGTTTATGTATAAGATGTGTTTACAGTAAAAGATACTGCTGAGGTTGAATGCTGAGGCTTACACAGCTGCTGGGGTTGTAGAGAAAGATCTATAGCAAGTACAGCTACAGGTGTCATGTTTACCTTCATTCCTTAATGATTCATGAAGCATAAAATTAAACCATTTACCTGAACTTGCATTTTAAACAAATAATTAGTACACAGCAATAAAAAAATTCTAAGAGTAATAAATAATGAGTAAAAACACTATTCTGCTCCACTAGCTCTGTTTAGGGTTAGTGGACTCCCACCTTGTTATGCTTGCTGCAAGGTCTGTTTGTCATCTTGCTGCTACTTTAGCTAGAAAGAACACTCCAGAGGAAGCTGATTAAAATTAGAAAAAAAAATTCAATAATAGATAACAGGGTAAAGACTGATATCACCGAAACATGAGTTGAAAGCCAAGGACTGTGGAGCTGTATTTGTCAATTAACATGCAGAAAATTCAGTAAGGAGAGTTTAAACCTGTTTACCCAAGGCCACTGACCTTACAAAAAAAAAAAAGGGCAAGACAAACAAAAAATGTAAATGAGAAGATAATTTGTAATCTTTTCTCAAAGGCCTCGGGGGGGGGGGGTTACCACAGATGCAATAGAGCTACGTACATCAAAGAAACCTAATAAACAGAAGAGGTTGTGCGTTATAATAAGAGTGGGAGAAAGATGACAGCAGCCAAAAAAAGGAAAAGCTGACAACCTGCAAGAGGAGTTGGGCTTGGTACTGACATGAATTAACATTTACCTAGTATGGGGTACAAACAAGGCAGGTTTATTCTGACTTCCTCTGTATTTTTAATGACTTAAGGCTGTTCTGTTTCTTCTTTTTTTTAAAATAGCCTATTTATATTTTGGACTGTATTGAGGTAAAAAAAAAAAATCATTCCATTATAAACTTGAAAAGAAATACATTTGATCTGCTGCAGGAGAAAACAATATGCTATATCAAAAGTTTCTAGGTAGGTCACATGCAAGTATCATTCAGATACTTGGTCAGGAGCAGAAGAAAAGCTAAACGACAAGCAGCAGCAGGTAAAGAGGACAAACATACTTCATATTTAAGGCTTTATAATGTACTTTGAAATCCTTGGCTGAATCATTGTCTAACTGATTAGCCAAACGGACATTTAAAGAAGTCTGCCCATCCTTCCCCTTCTCGCAGAACATGATAATTTAACAAAAAAATTAATTAAGTTTGGAAGTGCTGTCTGATTTTGACCAACTTTAAAGATGATCCATATGCCAGGTCTGCTTTCCTGCCATGCCCCTCAGTAGCTATGGGATTTTTTCAGAAATTTTGAAACAATTTCAAATTAAATGAAATTGTTTCATCCTTACCTTCAAACCAGTAATTTCTACTTTTTGTTTCTTCTGCGTTGCAAACATAAACAAATAAATCAGTAGAAGCTGTATTCACTACTCTGAATGGCCTTTCTGATTGGCTCTACAGGACAAATTCATGCTACCAAGTAGATTGTTTTCCCGTCCTCATTTGATGTTTTATAAATCTTAATAAAATGTTTTTATTACTACAAAATAATGAAACCTTGTTTAGTCTCAGGACCCAAAAAAGTAAAGAAAAAATAATTTTCATTTTACTTCTCTCTGCTGTCAAGGTTTGTAAAAGCATGAACAAAAGCGTTGAGAAGCTAGCTTCTTCCTGAGAGAGAACATGCTGTCCGAGAGCAGCGCTTCATGTCCCAGTCAAGCCGGCGTCCTTCCCCGGTTAGGCACTGTGTGCAGCGTTGATCGATTCAGCTCACAGGCAACAGCATTTGTAGTTTGGCAAAAAGTTATTCATCAGCTTTCTTGCTAATTTAAGATGGTGCATATTTTGTTTTGAATGAAAATGTTGAATTAGTATAAATAGCTAATTTTACAAACAGGTTTTGGGATTAATTTTTGGCATGCTCAGTCTATGATCCTTGGATTTCAGACTACTACAGCTTCCTGAAGCTGCATCTAATGCTATTTTATACTGTTGTGAAACAGAAAAATTACTGGACCAGATGGCTGAAAATACTGGGAATTTTGTTGTTTATCATCAAGTGCAAAACATGTAAATTAATTTTATATTTTGTTACAGAAAGTGTTTAGTTCTGATGTTGATACACAATACTATTAATGATGATTCAAAAATTTTCAAAAGCACTTAGGTGTAATTTCTCTACTGAAATACAATAGGTTGTATCCTCCTTAATCACGACAACACTTTGACGGTTCTACACAAAGCATCCGAAAATATATTAATAGTGAGTGACTCAAAACCCACACTAAGTTTTCCCTGACAACGATGACTAGATAGCCAGCAGGTTATCAAACTGACTGGCTACTCTTCCTATTGGTTTGCTGTGTTGGCTAAAAACCTGCTCTCCTATCACAGAAAATATTTCACTGGCGCTATTCTATAGGCGCTGTACCTTGCTGAACATAATTTGTGTTTATATTGAAAAATAAACTGGGCAGCCAGAGTCTAACCATGCGCCTGTTGGCGAGGAGGACAGCAGAGGAGCGGGGAGAAGTGCCGGGTGTGCAGCAGTGTGAGCTCTCCGGCGCACTCCTTGCCTCCGCACACAGCCAGGGGCTCGCTCAGCACCCAGGCAAAAGGCTATCCTTAAATCTGCACCATGGAGACTTTACCTTTCCAACCACTGCTTGTATCCTTACAGGATAACGAGCCAAGCCTAGAAAGATACTCAGGGATGTATGCTGTGATGACAACACCGAGCTTCATTTGTTATTTGTCAGATACTCCAGCAAGCTGCCATTCCAGGCTTAACACAAAACGTAACACATGCTTAGTCCTGTTCAAGTGGTAGGCAAGAGAATGGGTAATTTGTGAGATACTGTAACCTTAAATGACATTAAAAAAAAAAAAAAGTAACAACTAGTTTTGTCTTCAGACAGCAGAAATTCTGGAAAAGAGGCAATTTAAAGGCAGAGCGCTGTGATCAGGAACACAGTATAACTTCCCAAGGAAATCCTTATTTCTCTAGCCAGAAAAAAAACCTTCCACCCTTTCTCCTGCAGAAGATTTAAACCTCTTTCACAGTGATTAAATGAAAAGGGAAATAGGGGCACCTGTCTTAAGACAGTTGGCTACATCAATCCTTCGCTTTCGTGGGAGTGATTTGAAGACTGATATAAAATATATAAACTAGGCTCAAAGTATAGTTAAAAATTAAGCAGCTTGGAAAGCAAAATATAAATTATTCTGCTGTGTGCTTGGTAAAAGCGACACGGGCTTTCATATTTCAAAATCCAAACTCTTCTCAAACAGCAAATGACTCAAGGTGGAAAACAGAGAATGAAGTTGTTATCTTCACACTGAATAGTGGTATATGGCCGTTGCCAGCTAGAACTTGTCTGTAACTCTATTTTAGCTTATTGCTACTAGTTCTCTTTGCTCAGTGTAACTTGCTTATCTATCTGGTGTATGTGTTACACTTGTAAGTCAGCATAACAACTTTGAGAGCTTGCTCTGACACAGGGCAGGAACCTAGCAAAACAGTTCCCTTGGGTTTTTAAAAACCTTGGGAGAAACCTAGTCAGAATACCTCAAAAGGCCACGGTGGAATATAAAAGCCCTGTTACATAATGGGCTCTGTGAAGAGATTCTGTACTTTGTAGATATTATTTGGGTTCTTAAAATCATAATATGAAGGTATTTTACAACTGATGCCAGAGTTCGAGAGTAAGCAGTCATTTCTTAGCTCCTACCATGTTGCAACTTACTACAGCAACTGTCTAACGTAACATACTTAAGCAATTCAAGCAACAGAACTGTGTGTGTTTCTTTCTCATTACGCGCAGGCCTGTCCACACCAGGAGGCTGCCCGCGCCTCCTCCACCCCCCAGCCTGACAGAACATGCCCATCTGGAGTTGCTTATGGCGTGGCTGGACGTCCTCCTCCCTTCCTTCCTGATACAGAGAGCAAAGGTGAACAGTGTGGGACCTTTACATACGACATCCTACTCGCTGAAGTGGGACCCACCTTGCCTTGTGGCATTGTTCTTAAGAGAGCAAGCCCTCATGGGCTTGGAGAGGCACCGAGTAGACAAGGCTGATTCCTGCAGCCGCAGCGTTAAGGCATTCGTGGGGAGGACGTGGGACACGCTAAGGTTCATGTTTCCAATTTGCTTTCAGCTTAGAGCTGCCTGTAATGGATCCACGTACCTAGCACTTTCCTGTCCCTCAAGTGCTTCACAAATAACCAATGGTCTCCAGCAAGTCTAGGTTCCGCTCGGGCACGCAGCTGGCACGGACCTGACTTGCACCTTGGGCCTTCCCTGCAGAGCCAAGCGGCAGCTAAAGGAAGGATCAAGGACTGAACATTAGGAACTAACATTTGGCCTGCTTGATTCCTGCACCAGCCAGATCTGTAAAATACCCGTACCACCTTCCAGTAAGTGACAGTGCTACTACAGCAACCAGTAATTTTCAGTATTTTCCACTTCTGCAGGTAAGCAAAACTACTTTAGTCTATGAAAAAGTCAGGAAAAAGTAACAATCAGAAGACCATAGTGAGGTGTAAACCCATGTGACACTTTTAGTAAGGGAAGTGCTTTGTAAGGGAAATAAGTGCTCTTTTCTTACTGGAAGCATCCATGTTCCTAAAGTAGCATCTTCGCACCATCCAGGAATTGAACCTTTGGAATTAAAAGGGGAATAGAAGCCAAGATTTTGTGTCATTATGTATGTAAACCAAACCCCAACATACGGTTTCAGTGTAAGGAGGACAGAGGATACAGAAGCAGTAAAGCAAGTTTAGTCATGCCGTAAAACAAAAATCTCCCTTTGTCTGAGAATTCTAGGGAAGATTTTGAGAAACCCACCCTAGACAGCAGACAGACCCCAGGTAAAAAGTTTGGCCCATGAATCATGCAGCTTTTTTTCTTCTTAG